GAAAATGTTCAGTTTTATTGTTTCGAGATTAAGACCAATAGAAGTTTGTAGAGAATTCAACGGCGCATCTTTTAAAAAAAGATCAACGTTTTGTCATTTTCCTGAACAGAGATACAAGGAAAACAAGAAATGTCGGAAAACTTTTGCTCCACCTGGTAGATGATTTTTGATGATATTTTTGAAATAGCCTCGTCAGTGTTCCACAGTAAATATTGGACTAACTTTTCACCTCCGCTACCAAATGCGCTAAAAATTTGGATTTGGAGATTTTAGATGATATTGAACAAAATGAGAACAAAACATTAAAAAAAAAGTTTCTTGACGAGTGCTTTGGTTTTTTGATGGTCTTATGGAGGCTCTCTTAAATAAAAAAAATATTTTGTATTTTATATTTATTTGATTAGTTCAAATTTGGAACAATTTAAAAGAGATCTTATATATATTGCTCGTACAACACTTTGTTCAAAAATTCTTCAAGAAAATAAAGATCATTTTTCAAAATTATGTGTTGATGCTGTATTAAAATTATATGTAAATATCTTCATTTGATTTAATTAAAAAATAAATATAAATATTATCTTATTTAGAATAAAAATGATTTACAAGATATTCAAATAATAAAATGTTTAGGAAATAATCTTAATGATTCATATATTGAACATGGTAAGAAAATATTTATTTTAATTAATCAAAAAATAAAATATTTATTGTTTTCTTGTTCAGGTTTTCTATTAAAAAAACGTAATGATATTAATATACCAAAACGTATTGAAAATGCTCATATTTTAATTGCAAATATATTAATGAATATAGATAAAGAAAGTGTATCTGATTCACCTGTGTCTGTTAATCCAGTTACTGAAGAAACTGAATTAGAATCAGTTGAAAAAAAGCTAATGAAAGATAATGTTGAAAAAATCCTTCAACATAATTGTAATGTTTTTATTAATCGGTAGAGAAAAATGAAAATTATTTTATTTATATAAAAAAAAAATTTAATCATTCTAGAGAATTAATTAATGATTATTCTAAAAAATTATTTACTGAAAATAATATTATGACTATTGAATATACAGATTCTAAATGTGTTGAACGTTTAGCACAAATACTTGGTAAAAGAATAAAGAGTTTTTTATTTAAATAAAAAAATTAATTTAGATGGAATATTGTATCAACATTTGACACACTAGATAAAGTACGTTTAGGAAAATGTAATC